TTTTGGTTCAATGGTATTTTCAGGAAATTTCGATAATATATAACTATATACATCACTTTGATCAAGCACCAATTTATATTTGTAATTTTCTATTACTGTGTTTGAACTTCTCGTATTTTGCAATGGAGTACCCATCTGAATGGACGTTATGTCAACAAATTGTGAATTGATTTGATTGTAAGTGATTAATTAATAATTTAATAAACGGTAAAAAAAACAAAATTATATATATATTTATATATATTTACCTGATTTTGTATTTTACTTTCAAGGTAATTTCTGTAAACTGAATTCAACTTATCGAATATAATTGGCATATCCATTAAACTGATAGGCAATTGCATCATAAAATTTTGTAATATGTGTATCAAAATATACTTTGTATTTGTTCGTTGCATTAAAAATTCGACTAGTAACACTTTGTCTGTGATGAGTTTCACCAATGATTCCAATTTTAATTCAATATACCTATGTATATGAAGACACAATTGTCAAAAATATTATAAGAGTATTTCTACATTTAATTTTACTGTATATGTTATAGAGAAAAATATGATGCAACAAAAATAGGTACCTACCAAAGGCAACCTAACTTTGCATCAATTATTATGTTTGGTTGAAAAACAACCCAATTTGGCGAATCTGTTAATAAAATGCATTAAGGAAATATATAAGACATATAGAAATAATAGAAATATTATTTTATATCTTGATGTTTGTATTTCATTTTCATTAAGGATACACAGTTGACAAGGTTGATATATTTCATTTGACAAAGTTGTTCCTGGAACTTTTAAACTATATGGTTTGATTGACTTTACTGGCGCCACACTAGTATGATGCATTACAGTACCATCGCTTACACCAGGTAACATGATATCAAAAATCATAGAAGTCTGAAAAAGTATGTACATTTATTATATTTTTATGTACATTTATTACATTTGTTATATTTCAGTATGTATTGATTTACTTACTTTTGTGGTTTGATGATGAACAATAATAAGATTATCTACAACATTAATAGCAAATTTACCACTAACATCGAGTTTTAAAATATGACTTCTTTTGATTGTTGTCATTCTATTTGAAAAGAGGAAAAAGTGTATAACATATCAAGTAACAAATATGAAATTGACTTTAAATTAATTAATAATTATAAAAAAGAAACATACTTATGCACAGTATATACATGTACAGAAGCAGCCCCAGTAGAACGATTAGTACCTGGTTGATGACGTAGCAAAATAATACAAGGTGTCCCATATAGAATTGTTAATGCTACATCTCTCTCATAGACAGCCAATTTTCCTGGTTTGGCTGCACCAACTTCGACTAAAACAATTTTATTTTTAATAATGTAATTTTGACATAATGTTATTTTCATAATACTTTGTTTACCCTCAAATTTAGTTAATTTATGAAGATTTCCAGGTGTTATATGTAATGTTTGCATTTGATTTCCTATAGTGCCTGATGATAATAATACTAAATAACTTTGTGGGCAGAATACGAACCAATTAACACCTAAACTTAAACATTTCAAAAGTCTGACATTGTGTTTCTCCGAATTAATCTAAAATAATTGAATGTCTTTAAATATCGTATGTTTATGTAATTGATTGTCATAAATACACAAAGCAATTCAATTAAATCTCTTTCTTCTTTACTTGAAACAACTCAACGCCATAATCAGTAACAAACAGTATTTCATTTCCATGCGTCCAAACAAATCCCAATATGGTAGCATTCTTTCCTTTACACGACTGTGAATATTCAATGTTATCTAGTCCAGTAATTGATGAGTAATTTATAAATTCAACCGAAGAATTATTATGCTGCACCGCTAATATATTCATATTAGGAGAAAATTTAATAGAAATTACTGGACCTTTATCTTCCATTCGGAAACTTAGATTTTGATTTGGTCCTTTAACTAATACACCTGTGATACCTCCTGATCGAACAGCAAACACCTACACAAAATAAATTTTATTCTCCAATTAAATATTTACACATTATATTTAAATATTTAATTTTATTATGTAAACATTAACATTATTACGTAAACGAACGTTCATTTCTAACCTGTTGCTTTGAGTCGTCGAAAAAAACATTTGTTTGGCAGCTAACCGATTCAAATCTAATTGGATCGGAAGACAGTTCTAAGTAATAATCATCATGAATATCTTGATCAGTAGCTTCCATATTGTTGACATCAATTCTAATCAATGTTTTATTGTTTAAAATTTTTACAATTACTGATCTACAAGTTCACCGAGTCTGTTACTCACTATGTACCGTGCCTGTGTGTACAAACATCGATTAGTAAAATTGAGAACACTCTTAAAGTACAACACATTCCTCTTAGTTACATATTTTATAACGCACTGTTAAATCAATCATTTGATGTCGTTCAAAATATTAGAAGTTTTATTTTTCTATTTGTTTAGGCAGTGTAAATTTGTATTACTGTTGCATTGTTAATTTTAACATATACATATCTTCCACTTCGTTCGTACATATATATGCATCAGACAACTTCAGATGTATCAATGTACTCAATTAAATATGCGTTAATAATATTGAACGTGATTCAAAGATATTCATCCTAAAAAATTAAAATTAAAATTAAATCAATTAACAGGTAATAACAATTTTGATATTAATAATGAATATTCTTTCTAATCGAAGATACCATTATTATAATTAACAGATGTAGATGAAAATTCTAGTTCTGCATTAAACTTAGCAAAGTTTGGTAATCATTTACTTAAGCAAATAAATATTTATTGTAACATAAATAATACGGTTCTTTATAACATTGCATTAAAAAAAAAGAAAGACAAATGAGAAATACAAATTTAGAGAGCACTATCGATTGAATAAATAAATGTCGTACAACATATATAATTTTAAGGTAGAGAATGATAAGAGTATGGATTTATGTGAAATGGATGATATAATACAAACATCGTTAAGTGTTAACACATCTATTGATTATATAAATGACAGTAACAATCATAGAAATAAAAATAGACGGAAGAATTACAATGAAAAGAAACCTGAAAATTCTAAAAATAAACAAAAAGATATCCTGGCAGTAAATTTTGAGACAACACAAGAATATACTTGTACTTCATTACAAATGAACACGTCACTAGATGTTTCAAATAAATTGCAAAATGATAACAGTACAATTGATGCTTTTTCAGTAAAAGATATAAATTCTA